GGAAGGGGAATCCCTTCCATAAGGACTTGAGGTAGCAAGTCCTTTTCCAGGGTTACTTCCCTTCTTTTAATGCCAATAGGACCATTTTGAGAGTCACCGCACCTCTGTCGCACAACAGATCTGTCCACAGAGCTCTGTACCTCACGTTCCTTGAAGATTTGCCTAAAATGGGCCACAACATTGTTATTGTAATAGTCACCAGCGCAGCTTGCAATAGCTGTTAGGGTGATTTTCATCCATAAAGGTTTGCAGTTCAACCCACTTTGCACACATTTCCTTAATCTCTTTTTTCAATTCCATACTAATTCTCGCCCTTTGTACCACAAGGTTGGCACTAGAAGCTTTCTTGGGGTCCATGGTGACTTGTTTTGCAGTTACCAGCACTAAATACACTGGGATAATGTGAAATGTACCGAATATATGCGCAGATGCGACCACGCTGGCTAGCTTGTAAACACTGGCACCTGTGGGGCAGCGTGGACAGGTCCCGGATGAATCACGTTGGGCAAGTTTTTTATCGTTAGGCGGGGCAAAACTTTTACGCTCAAACACTTCGTTAGGCGGATTTAACATTATGCGATGTGTTCATTAGGCGAGGGTCCACGTACAGGATACATTACTGAAAATAGATAAGTGGAGTATTTATCTATAGAGGGAAAAGAAAAAAAAGAGGGAATGTTCTAGAGTATAATGATACCAACACTATATGGGTGTGAGGCATGAGCTTTAATAATTGTAGCAAGGAGGAGGCTTGCATCATTGGAGACATCATGTTTGATAGTATGTAATTTGTGGTTTGAATATTATGCAGATAATTCGGAATGTATTTGCAGAAATTTACATGTATAATAATTTCTCCGTGGCTCAAATTACATACTCGATTATTCACCATCTTAAAATCTCCTCAGTCTCTGACGTCACAGTTACATCGTAAAGCTCGACAAGTCAAGCCTCTGGTTATCAAACGTATAATTCAGAGGGTTGAGGAGGGGTTATTGAGGTGGTCTGGGTCATTAGAGAGGATGGAGCAGAATTGGATGACCCAGAGGGTGTATAAATCTGGGATGGAAGAATGGAGAGGTAGAGGTCAGAAGGGAGGGGGTAAAGGAGGTTTTGAGTGCTAGGGTCTTGAGCATCCAGCAGACTTATGCATGCATGTTAGATTGGTGTGGAGACAAGTAGGTTTTATAGCTGGCCATGCTGTTGAGGTGGAAGCTAGGTAACATTTATGAAGGGATTCGGAGAAATTGGTTAGCAGGATTTGAGTCCTAGAGGTGGGAAATACAGTGCCTTCAGTCTGATGGAGGTTGTAGAGATGCTGCAGTTTGGAGAATCATTGAATTTTGATGCTTGTGCACGTCTAGCAAGATGGTTATTGAATAAAGGATGGTGAATTTGTTTAATTTTTTGTATCACCCTTCTTTGGTGATAGATGGCTGGTATGATAAAAAAAAGATTGTAGTTAATGACTGAAATTAAATCAGAAAACTGGAATGTATCATAACTATTGAAAATTTCAAATTGGTGCTTTCACAATAAATTTATAGTATAGATATCACACCATTTTTATGTACCATATAGTTTACTTTTCACTTATATTGGTGTAAAGTTTATATTTGTAACAGGATGTCTTTTACAGAGTTTGACCTTGAGATTATGTCAGAAATGGGCAAGATGGGCATGTTGGGATCAACCATACCTGGCTATGGATGCCCTGGGGTCTCCTCTGTTGCATATGGTCTTATTGCTCGAGAAGTGGAGAGGGTAGATTCTTCTTACAGGTAAAGAGAAGCACTGGGTATAAATCCTTAACACACTATTTGTAGTCAACTGTCTTAATGTGCTAGGTATTAATCTTATTTTGGATTCTTTTTTATAGTGTGCTTTGAATGTCTTATTACAGATCTGCAATGTCTGTCCAGTCATCACTTGTCATGTACCCCATCTGGGAATTTGGCACAGAAGAACTTAGATTGAAATACCTTCCCAAACTTGGTAAGATGATACTATACTGTATTTATGTTTTTGGTTATGTGCTAGAAGTAAAACACCTGCCATATTTGATTGAGTGTAGGCCGAAGTTTGGTGGCCAATTTATGGGCAAAAAAGTAGGATGTCTATTCATACATGGGTAATATTTTTGTACTTACTGAAATTTATAAACTGTCATCCCTATACTGAAATTCATTATTCCCTGGTTTTGTACAACCCCAACAAGTTTAGAGCTTCATGAATGTAATAAGAGTAGAGTAACACTACAGTAGGTCTACTGGTCATGCTAGGGAGGTCCTGCTCACAATTAGATTTAATTAATGTACAGTTACTGCCAAACCAGTTTTAATTCCTGTAAAAGAAGAGTACTGCAATAGGTCTGCTGGCCCATGCTAGACAGAACCAACTCTCATTCAGCCATTCCCACTAATGTATCGGTAAGTCCAGTCTTTTTAATTTCTTCTACTCATTTACAACTTGTTGCCAATCCAGTACATTCCTGTATCCTTGTTGAATTCTGTTTTAGTCTCCTGAAATTCTCTATGTAACTAGGAGCTTTCCATCATGTATGAAATAGATGTCACCTGATTTTCTGACAATTTTTATTAAATAAAAATTTATTTGTTATATTTATTTGAATCTCTATTTTGCGTGTTAAACACATTTGTGCATTAAAACCTTATACTACGAAGCTTTGTAAATCCAATGTAGGGTGTGAGATTATCAGTATATATAGCAAAAGAGGCCAGGTATGAGAATCTACAGGTCAGTGTTATATCAGTCAGGCACCTGACTGCATTGTCTTACCAGGATAGCAACAGGCTGGCCAAATACAGTGATACCTTGACTAACAAGTTTAATTCGTTGTGTGACCGAGCTCGTAACTCAATTTGCTCATATATCAAATCAATTTTCTGCCATTGAATTAATTAAAATGCCATGAATCCATTCCTGCCCCCCAAAACCACCCCTGTTTTTTGGTTACGGGTTTTTAAATAAGAAAAATGTATTTATAAATAAGAAATATTGTATACTCCACCCACCACCTTTAAACTACTCCAAAACTACCACCATCTCTACTTGCCAGCACATTTACTATTCCACCCACCTCCATCTCTACTATACCTACCCCCTCACTATTTCTACCCACCAAAATTCTACCCCACTCCCACAATATCTACTCCACTCACCACAATATCTACTCCACCCACCATTATCACTGCTCCACCCACCACCATCTCTACTCCATCCACCACCTTTCTCTACTCCACCCACCACCTTCACTACTCCACCCCACTTCCATCTCTGCTACACCCACCACTCTCACTACTTCCCCCACCCCCATACTACTCCCCACCATTATCACTACTCCACCACTACCATCACTACTCCACCCATCACTATCACTACTCCACCCACCTTAATGTTTCTGGAAAAAACTCTGAGTGTTGAAATGGAGGTTGCCTCTTCCTGGATTTATATGAGAACCAAACAAGGGATGAGGTGCCTCACTACAATCTAGGATTAGTGTGGGAGATTATCCTTCCAGTTATGTCTTGGAAGAGCATGGGGATGGGACGATGTACCTGACATTCCTCTGGGTTTACGAGATGGATTTGACCTCAGATACGCCGCCAGTTAGTGGCAGTGTATCTGATGCTCGCTATAACTTGAATTTTGGCTTGCAACTCAAAGCAAAAAATCGACGAGCGATGGCTTGTAACTCGGAAAAACTCGTAAGTTGGGGCACTCGTAAGTAAAAGGTACCACTGTACTTGAAATGCTGCATCTGCCGGGACTTGTGGACTACAGTGTTAGAAGTGGCAAATACTGTGGCCTTTCAAGGCAGTACCTTGTTACAGAGGGGTTTTTCTTAGGTTATGAGCCTGGCTTCTTTCCACTTCTTTCAGGTGGTCATTCAACTATGGCGGACTACTCATGCATTGTTTATATCGTTCTAGTTACAGGCATATTTATGTTCTCTGTGGTGCTGTTTAAGCCCTTCTTGCCAGGGCCATCTCCCCCCACTTGTTTTATCACATTCATAATATGGAATGAGATAAGACTCCTGCAATGGTGCCCAACTGGGTGTGGTGATCTTGCCAACCAGATCTTTGATGGTTGTAGAAGAATTTGGGGCCAAACACTCATCCTAAAACTGGCTGGGGAAACATAATATGTTATCTGTAGAAGGACAGTGTCAAAGAGCTAGAAAAGGACAGTGGGAACCTTGACTTGGGAGTTAAATCTGTGACCTAGCTTGTAATTTAGTTTGCTCATATATCAAACCAATTTTTCTCTTTTTAACCCTTTGATTGTTTTGGTCGTATATATACAGGTCTCCCTCAACATTCGCGGGGGTTAGGGGATCAAGAGCCCCGTGAATGTTGGAAAATCGCGAATGTTTGGTGCCCAATATATTGCAGGGAAATATAATAAATAATAAAATGAAATAATCTATGTATATACATGTATATACGTACATGCCCCTCCCACTCATATATTTGTCCAATCTCTTTTTAAAGCTACCCAAGGTCCTATCAAAGCTAAAACTTGGGTAGCTTCACATTTAGGTTGGATAAATACACAAGTGAGAGGTGGTTGGATTTGAATGGGTCTTGCATGCGAGTAAATAGAATGTTAAAAGCTTATTGCTTGGGTAGCATTTATTCTGTTATTGGGCTGGATTTGTGAAGGACCTGAATAGTATGGGCCAACAGGTCTACTGCAGTGTTCGCCCTTTTCTTATGTTCTCATGAACAATCATAAAATACGTACCTGAGAACATCGAAAAAATATTGTACTGCCTCCACCACTGCCTCGTATTTTTATATAATTTCTTTTTTCCCAATTCTTTCGTGCTTCTCAGTTTCTTTACCAAAATTTATTTGGGCCCATGGTTAATTATGTAGCAGTCACAGTCAATCAACAAGCACCAAACACAATGAATTATTGTGAAATGTTTGGAAGAGCGCAGAGGATAATACTCACCCCAGCAAAAACGAAGCCATACTGACTGACGATGCCTCTACCACCCACTGCTTCAACCCTCGTATTTATTATTATTATTATTAATTATTATTTTATTATTATTATTATTATTATTATTATTAGCAGTCATGAATGAGTTGACATTATTTATACTGTAGTTTAAAAAATAATGAACAACAAAACACTCACCATCGTAAGGCAGACGAACTCTGATGACTTGTGATGTTTTAAAAAAATTTAAATTATATTCTTTATTTCTCTATTGATATTACATGCAGTTACTGATGACAGTTGAATGGAGATGATTATATGGAGGTAATGCATGGCATGAGACATACTTTCACCACCACACAAACAGCAATGACCGACTCGCACAGTGGTGGAGACTGACTGAGTGAGTGAGTGGCGGGTGGGGGGGGCTGGCTACCAGTTGTTATTATTATTATTGTTATTATAATAACATGTATTATTATTTTTCATGTATGTACTTAGTAACATGTTTTTAAAAAAATAATAGTACATATTATTTAAAAACATGTATGTTTTTAAATACCATTGCCTCAATCAAATGCCCTAACCCCTCTAGTCACAAATCAATCTACAAGCACCAACACCCAAAGAATTTTTTGTGAAATGTTTTGAAGAGCAGGGAGATAATGTTTACTCCAGTATAAACACAGTCACACTGACGATGTTCAACCACTTTCCCTCATATTTTTGTACAATTTCCTTCTTCAATTATATCAATTATTTATTAGTATATTATTATTATTATTATTATTATTATTATTATTATTGTTATTGTTATTATTATTATTATTATTATTATTATTATTATTATTATTATTATTATTATTATTTTTATTTTTATTATTATTGGCAGTTTGGAGGGATATGTTGTGTATCTTTATATGTGTATGCTTCTAGACTGTTGTATTCTGAGCACCTCTGCAAAAACAGTGATAATGTGCAGTGTGGTGAAAGTGTTGAATGATGATGAAAGTATTTTCTTTTTGGGGATTTTCTTTCTTTTTTGGGTCACCCTGCCTCGGTGGGAGACGGCCGACTTGTTGAAAAAAAAAAAAAAAAAAAAAATTATTATTATTATTATTATTACTATTGTTATTGCTGTAGCAGAAATGTTTAAATTTTTTGCTGTTCAAGAGTAAACACATGATGTCACCGTCTAATACCTGTCCAAATAGCCATTCCAATATGCAGTCATGAATGGGTTTACATTATTTATTCTGTAGTTTAATAGCAAATAATGAACAAACAAAACACTCACCACACTGAGTGGTGGGAGGGCTGGCTGCCAGTTGCGGGGGTCGGAGGGAGGGTAGTAGGGACTCGCAGGTGGCGGGAAACTTAAATATGATTTGGCGGCTGGGAATTTGGTGGCTGGGAATTTGGCGGTTGGGAATTCGCGAATGTGTGAAGCCCGTGAAAGTTGAAAACGTGAATGTTGAGGGAGACCTGTACGTCTTACGCGCCAGTGTTTTTGACGTTATATACTCAATAATTCTAACGGCTTCAAATCAAGCGGAAGAAAGCTGGTAGGCCTACATGTGAGAGAATGGGTCTGTGTGGTCAGTGTGCACCACATAAAAAAAATCCTGCAGCACACAGTGCGTAATGAGAAAAAAAAAACTGATCGTTTTTTTGGATTAAAACGCAGACTTTGAGGTGTATTTTCGTATAGTATTTATCGATGTATTTGCGTTTTCATGGTCGTAGGTGATAAAATGGAAAACATATTTCAGAAATAGAGATGATTATCATTACTTTGATGATGAAAACGACCTTGAAACTGAGCTCAAAGTAGCGGAAATGTTCGATTTTTAACAATGTTCAGGAGTAAACAAATCACACCACACGTCCAATACATGTCAAAATGGGGAGTCTAATATTCTTTCACTAGTGCACTGATATTATTTATTTCCATTTTTACAATAATGAGTAGTCTGCATAACAGTAAATTTTGTATTTTTTTGTATGAATAAAAAAAAAATAGAAAACAATAATAATATAAGAGGGGCCTAGAGATGTGAACTAATGAACAGAGGATATGTTATTTTAGTGCCAAGAATGTCTACCTTGTTTATTCTGGACCCCATTTTGAAATTTGGGATCTTTTTTAGTTTGTGTGAAATTGGCCAAATTGCCAATTTCTGACCACAATATTGGGTAGTCCAAATTGGTAAATGGGCGGTTTCTTGTACTCAGATGATAGATAAAATGGAGTTCTAAAGAAATAGCTATGAGTTTGGTCAACTGGAAAAACGGAATTGGCTGAAAATAGGGCTCAAAGTCGGCGAAATCGCCGATACGCATATGTCGCTGAGACCGCTAACTTTGCGGGAGCGTAATTCCATGAATTTTCGACCAAATTTCGAACTTT